AGCCCTCCATTATATGGAATTCTTGATGTTGTGTGAGAAAGTTAGTGAGGAGGGCTGTCCTTTCCTTCTGACCGCAGCTCCCAAGTCTGTTCACATGGGGTAGATATATCCATCGTTTGTTCTATATTTCATTTGCTTTTCTTTACTACTCCCCGTCCTGTTCATCTTCCAAAAACTCAGAATCTGTTAGTCGTAGGCTTTTTATGACCATACTCCGGAGTATTATAATCTTCATCCCAAAAGTTTGGTTAGAGTAGAAGTTAAGAGTTATTCCAGCATACGATTTTTTCCTGAAAATTCGTTTCTTGAAAGTTTATGCAGATATAATAAGAGCGAGAAGCCACTGCAAGAAATATCATAGAAAATTGTGAGCCAATGAAATCATTTTTACTTGTTATACTAAAATATCCGCATAGTAAGGAGCAAAGCCATGTCTGCATGAACTAAACTATTCAATAAGTAGGGAAGTATTTCAAGCAAGTAACAAATTAGGAGAAGTTCAATGGCAGATGGGACCAAAAGCAATTTGCATGGTAATTCATTAATCATATCAATTAAGTCGAAAAAGGCTCTATAAAGAGGAGCAGTTAAACAAAATTCAAACAATTGCTGACTGCTTTCTGGAAGCATTAGTCCGGAGTAAAATTTTCGATTACAAATTGAATGAAAACTGGAAGATGTAGTTACTTAGCCTCCTTCTATCTCACTTTTATTGCATCGTTAAAACCTTAGAGGTCAAACTTTCCCGTGAAGCATTTGAAATTACCGAACTCTCTCCCTCGTCTTTACTCAAGTTCACATTTATTTTAGCAGTTTTTCTAAACGACAAATTTGAAATTCGGTTTTGGGCCATTCCGAACCAACTTCATGAGAGGGAAGGCTGACGCCACGCGCTGGATTTATTTGTGGCATCATATTCCTTAGTGCGAGGACATCTGTTGCATCACTTCTCCATACTCCGATTCTCGGTGCCTCGGCTCTAAATTCGCATAGATGGTTGAGACTCCACATTAGGAGAACCACGCTCGAAGCCCAAACAAAGCAGTAAGGTTTGCATCTGAGATAAGTGCAATGCACTAAAATGACTGCTCCACCGCATAAAAGGCACTTTTTACGGGCTAATTTTAAATCGATTCCCCGATGCGCCTCTGAGGCATATGATCGTGGTGCCTCTTCTGTGTTTGTCTAGACAACACAGCACATTTATCTCGTCTGAACTGCAAAATTATTTACAGCTTTTAAAACTATACTGAGTCGACATAACATTATTTTGTATTTTTATCTTAACAAACAGTCTTAGGTAAAGTATCATGCTCTATACGCCAAATTACCATCTCTAGGATTATAGATTATCTATCAAAAAGAAATCTAAAAGAAAAGGTTGCATGTAAAGAAATACGGCACAGGAATAATCCTAAATTTCCAGTCGTATAGACTAAAGCTCAGATTAGTCAGAAGTATGATCGTATGGCCTTGGTCGCCCAAGGCCAACCGACATGGAATTCTAGAAAGGTAAACTGGGAAAGCTAACTTGGATGTTTCATGGGAATCTAAATTTAGAGAAATCAGTAGGAAAAAATGTACGGGTAATGTTGAACAGATAAGAGGAAGGGAGTTGTTATAAGAAAATAGAATAGATATTTTCACCCCTCTGGAAACCGGCTCATAATGTGTGGCCTTTGATAACGAAATGGAGCATTAGTGCAATGCAAAAGGTACAACAATCTTCACATATGCATAAAAAAGCCAAAAAATTGACTGCTTAAGAATATATTGCATCAGCCACAATGACTGCAAACAAAAAGTAAAGTATTTAACAGGGAAGAATAATGCAGATTAAAAGTAAATAACATCAGTGACTCTGCAGAATCATAGATGGAGAAAGAAATGTGAAGGCTGAGAATATTGCAAGAAAATTTGGGTTTCGAAGAATCTCTTGTTTCATAATAGCTGAACTTACTTCCATTTCGAATGAAAGTGTTTGGTGAAGAGATTCGAAGGTCGATTTAACCTTTGCGACTGCAAAGGTTTGCACAAGCCGTCAAAAACATCCAATGGAATGATACTGAAAAAATGGCCTTATAAGGTGAAAATACAAGAAAAAATACGACCAGAGTAGCCGTGGCATCAGTTTTCAAATGAATGAAGTCAAAAGAATAGTAAAAGAAGACGATTGCATTTAGAAAATCCATCAAATAATGGGAAAAGACATCGCCAGGAAGAAGATCTTGAGAGACTTCTCCGGAAGTCAAGAGAAGGAGAATACAGTAAAAAGAAACAAGTAAAGTAATCGAGGATACCGCCTGGGGAAAAATGAGTAAGTTGTCGCAATCGACTTAATGGGTCATTATTAAGTAATCAGATAACAAGATCTATATCTGCTTAAAATCAACCTGTGTCGGAGCAGAAGCCGGGGGCATAAACTGAGTTAGCCAACAGTACATGGATTTAATCATGGGTCTAGGCCATGACAGCATAGACATTTTATATGTGAAAATGCGTAACTTTAGGATCAGATTGGAATGGTAGAGGAAACGATGACGTGAGATCGCAGAGAATGTCATACTGAAAGAAGAAATGGATAAATTGTGTAGTATATACATCGCTATAGGTTCCAGAGAAGCAAATATATAGGGGCTCGAGGAAATGAGAGAATAGAGATAAATGTAAGAATGTGATAACTGGTGAACAAGGTTAGGAGGCCATTATATTTAGGTGGCAGGAGTAAAAATCATGTATTTGAGAATCATTCTCGGTGAGACATATACGTTTCATTGTATATCGAAACGATTCGTGTGAATAAATTCTCGCATAAGGTGGCTATGCTCAAAGGGATTAAAGTTAGCAAGGTAGATAAGATAATAGGAAACATCTGACAGAAGTTTGGAGAAGATAATTGCTAAATTAAGTAATAATTTATATCAGGAAACCCTTCGGACAGTATCCTAAACATATGTTGACGGTCATTATGCCTCACTAAGTCCATCTGGCGGCTGCGCACTTAAAAGACATTGAAAAAAACGAAGAAACTAAGATGTAGGTAGAAGAAAGGATGAAAAAGTGAAATTGCGGGACAGAGGTGCAGCGCTAGAGGCTAATGGAAAAAGAGAGGAATATCATAATCGTTGATCAAAATTAAACAAGAGATTGCCTTCACTTATCAATTCGACGAGTTGTACCTCGGTCCTAGGATTGAGGCCTGTAATTAACGATACCATCTACGGTGCCAGCGAAAAATCGTGAAATGTAGAGTCAACAATCTAGCGTTAAAGGATATCATGATACTCTATGAGAGGACGCAGGACTAATTACGTTTTGAAATGCCTTTCTGACGTCCCGGCCAAGTTGTGAAAACGAGGTTATAAATGTGGCAAAAACGAGGATCACACTAGCTTGAAATTCATATATAAAGCTGGAGCTGAGACGGTAAAATGGCATGAATGTTCTTATGTGTACTTGTGTACATTATAAAGGCATCAGTCGATGTTTTATATAAAGAATAAGAAAATAAATTTAATATACTGGACTAACCTCTATAGCAGCGAAGCCGCAATTAACCCTCGTGTGCTTGTTCAAGCTATTTACTAAGTGCTCGCCTACAGTCAAGTAATAAGGGTCCAAAGTTGCGCGGTGTAATAGGTATGTGGACTCAATTAGTTCTGGCCGCATAAGATGCTGGCCCCAATGGACATTAAAATCAAGTGTGAAGGCCTCTGGTAGGAGATGATGACGTTGTTGGACTTGATAGAGGAGCTCGTGCATCGCAACCGCCGCTTTAACATCTCCCATCATCACCTAAATAAAAAGTGAAAGAAGCATTTATGAATCAAGGAAGCTGTGAGAACATTTACTAAATATATACCAATTTATCTATATGCCATGTTTACAAATAATAGTGACAAAAACAGTTCATAGAGGTGGGTTGACTTAGTTGTCGCAAATTGGTCTTGTTGTCAGGGGGACTAGTAGAACGCACCTAGTCCAAAGTCGTCTGCTGTAGTTGTTGTCATGATTCCCAGCATCAGACAGTGGACTTGATACATTCTCAAACGTTTCGTCGGCATCATCAGTGAGTTTTGCCATTCTACACACCAAGCTACGAACTCGTCAAAGAGACAAGTGAAGTCAATCCCTCGACAAACGTTCTGCCGAAAATGGTAGCACTATACTGGCCTATCTATCTAATCTTTACCCTCTTGTCCCAAAGCCACCCTATCACAACTTCCGACATGTTTATATTCCACTCGTCAAAATGTGTGCCCTTTTGTGGCAAATCGAGTGTAGCCTCATCACGCTTACTATCTACCCCGACCTGTCTCTTTCGTTCAGCTGATCCGACTCAAGCCTCCAATCCGGATTCCCTCATTGATTCGTGTGATAATTTTTCTCCATGTTTCGTCAATATATTTCTGTTCGCAGGCGCCGCATGATATATAGTAAACTCCTAAAGAATCCTATTTGTCCACCTTTTCATATTGCGTTAGTAGATTTGTGAAAAGTGTTAATTTCTATTTCAGGGCCACCTCAATATTCCATTTACTCAATATTGGCTGCAGTTTTTGAGTAAGTTCGCATGAAGGTAGGCATATCCACTTTTCTGAATCCTTCATAGTACCCGTTCTCCCATCAGCTTTTCACGACTCGTATGCTTCTCTGTATCCCTTTAAA